AGACAGTAACAGTGAATAGAGATATCAGGTCTCTTTCTCTCATTTTTTATTTCTCTTTAGAATCTACATTCAACCATGCTGTTCTCTGAAGTACAGTTTAGGAAAAGGTAGTTTTTCTAAATAAATAACTTAGAAAATGTATAATCCACAGAAATTTAAGGAATGTCTGACATTTTCTAATTATTTTTCATGTAGCTGCTACACACCTATGCGTTCTCTGTTGAAACAATATGTTTTGTTGAAGAAAAATCAATTAATAAAGCTTCTCATGTAACATAACAGACATGGTAAATCCTAGTTATTCCAATGTAATGTAACCAATGCAGACACTGGTTATAGAATACAGAGCAATGTTCCCAATGGTACTTTCGCAAAACTGAAAACTATTCTCTCAGAAGGACCAAGTCCAATAGGAGAGGCTCAGAAGTCAGACTTTGAAACCCACCACTTAAGGCTTCTATGCTTCACTACCTGCCTTTATACTTATACCATTTCCAACCTGCTTCACCACTTTATTCCATGGTGTTCTGTGTTGTGAGAGGAAAATAATAGCCTGAGTATGAAGTCATCTAAAATCCCATTTTAATAATTCTGGAAAAATGAAAGTTCTTTGTAAAGTAAGTTAATGACTCAGAATTGTTTAGGTTTAGCAGAATAAGTGACATTTTCTAACAGCTTCTCAGTAAACTATAACTTATTTTGTAATCCAGGAGAGAAGAAATTAATCATTATTTATGCTGGTATGTATTCCTGGAGGGCTTTTTATTTTCCCCGTTTTCAATACATAGCAGAATGTTAGTTTCTTGCTGAAAACTGAACATTTCAAATCAACTCTTAAGAAAACAAAACAATTTTATGGTAGACTAGATGCCCGGTGCACGAAATTCATGCACGGGGGAGGGGGTGTCCCTCAGCCCAGCTTGCACCCTCTCCAATCTGGGACTCCTCGGAAGATGCCTGACTGCCTGTTTAGGCCCCACCCCTAAACCGGCAGTCGGACATCCCTCTCACAGTCCAGCACTGCTGGCTCCCAACCGCTCGCCTGCCTGCCAGCCTGATCACCCCCTAACCACTCCCGGCCAGCCTGATCGATGCCTAACTGCTTCCCTGCCAGCCTGATCGCCCCCAACCCTCCCCTGCCAGCCTGGTCACCCCCAACTACCCTCCCCCGCCACCCTGGTTGCCCCCAACTGCCCTCCCTTGCTGGCCTGGTTTCCCCTAACTACCCTCCTCTACTGGCCTGGTACTCCCAACTGCTCTCCCCTGCAGGCCTGGTTGCCCCCAACTGCTCTCCCCTGCTGCCTTGGTCACCCCTAACTGCCCTCCCTCCTGACCTGATTGCCCACAACTGCCCTCCCCTGCTGGCCATCTTGTGGCTGTGGGCACTGTCATCTTTGAGGGCGTAGCAGTCAATTAGCATATTCCATCCTTATTGGCTGTGGGCGCCGCCATCTTTGAGACAGCATGAAGGTCAATATGCATATTCCCTCTTTATTAGATAGGATCACCTATATTTTACAAAAAAAAAAAAAAAATAGGTGGACTTTTTGTTTATAAGCATCTTTGGAAAACTTTTGTAATGAGCCCTGAGTTATATAAATTACCTTACAACATATGTGTGTGGGTGAGAACACACACACATGCAGCCTCAGAATTCCAGTTATTAATTATGACAAAATGTATTCAGAGCATAAAATATATTATGCTATCCTTTAAGTAATTTTGCCCGATTTAATTTTCTCATCATAATAATCATATGAATCAGCTACTATTATCCTTATCTTCAGATGAGGAAATCAAGGCACAGATGATTAAGTCACCCAATGTCATAGAGCAATTAAGTGGGCTTCCAAGTATCATAAATCAAGCAATCTGGCTCCCAAAGCAGATTAATGAATGCTAATCAAATTCTGCATGTTTATTTTTAATTTAGGCACATATGGTAGTACTGTGATTATATTATAATCAGGGATTCTACTCATATAAATTCATATTCACAACAAGGATAAAGAAATGGATGGATATGCAGATACACATATGCATATAGATATAGAATTAGAGATAGGGATAGAGCTAAATAGGCATGATCAGGTTTGGTATTTTACTCTGGATTTTTTAAATACCTAGTACAAGTCCTCAATCATCCTTGGTACAAAGTTTAGTAAAGCCAGTTTCAAAGACATCAAAGCATTTTCATGGATGACAAAACCATAAAGCTAATTGCAGAATTATATATTATTGCTCCCCACATGCACACATGTATTTTTACTTTATAATGGGATGATATTGTACTAAATAATGTTGTTTTCTTTATACTTTTCATGTTTCTGATAATATGTTAATGTGATTTTTATCACAAACTTAATTGGAAATGTGGGACTCACTTATCATGTATAAGGATAAGTTTAAAAAACATGCGTAGTAAAAATGGAAATCTAATATCATGTGTGTAGTTTTTGCAACAACAAAGTTGGATAAAAAATCAGTAACAGAGAGTAATAAGCAATTGTTGTAATATAACAAATTCAGACACTGCTTATAGAATACAGATCTCTCTGTCTAACACACAAGGGACTTTTAGCAAGCGACTAGTGCCAGAATTTGTTCATTGCAGCTTTAATAAAGCAAAGACTTTGTAGTAGTTTGGATTCGTGGACTCTGACATGCTGTAGAGGCCACCGCTGAAAGCATAACTACCCCATTCTGCTCCCATTGTGTCATATTGCGAATGGAACAAACTCCAGTGGTCTCCATCTCCTGATGGAAGGAGTCCAACATTGTTATTAAAAAGCTAATGAGCCAAAGACCAGCAGGCCAAAGAGACTGACACAATGCACCAAGGGAGAGTATCCTAGAGGAATGGTGAAACACTGCTAGTCAGGATAGAGGAAGAAAGCGTCATATATGAGGTTTGGGTTCTCACTTAAAAATTCTAAAGAGGATCTCAGGAACATGAAGGAGGGTCCTGGGTTGGTCGCTGTTTTTGAGATAAGTTTAGGGAAAATGAAAATTTAAGGATTGTGTGTTTATGAGTTGAAGGTGGATCTCAAATTGGGTAGCCCCATCAGATGGGATCAGCAAAGCAGGTCAGAATGTGTCATTGCATTGAAAGTACTAGTCACTCATAGAGGGGGTACTTGTGACGTTATGACTGTGGCATAACCAGGGGGAAAATATTTCCTGTGAACTTTTCCCCTGGCTGTAACTGTCTGTTCCCCAGCCTCATTAACACTGGGACTGTTTTTGTTTGTTTGTTTGTTTCTTCATTTTTCAGTGCAAGCAGATTTTTCATCTTTCAAGCCAAGACAGGGGAATTTCAAAAGCAATAAAACAATTTAATTTGCCCTAACCGGTTTGGCTCAGTGGATAGAGCATCGGTCTGCGGACTGAAAGGTCCCAGGTTCAATTCCGGCCAAGGGCATGTACCTTGGTTGCGGGCACATCCCCAGTGGAGAGCGTGCAGGAGGCAGCTTATTGATGTTTCTCTCTCATCGATGTTTCTAACTATCCCTCTCCTTTCCTCTCTGTTAAAAATCAATAAAATATGTATATAAAAATAAACATTTAAAAAAACAAATTAATTTAATTAGGCTCTAATATTATGTGTTAGCAAGGGTAAATGTGCCCCTTTTTACAGGAGAGAATAAAAAGAATGTCTTTCCTCGGGCCCTTTCTGATGCCACAGTGTTGGAGGACATCATCCTTAACCAGGACATCCCTAGAGAGCACAGGATTCAAGGGCCGACACAGCGGGCCACACGTTAGGCAGTCCTTTTGACACTGGATGCCTTAGCCAACAATTAAGCTAATTTACATTTTTTATTTTTTACGGAATCTTGAGTCATTAACAATGGTTTGTCTGAAGTGCTAGTCAATGAGAAAATTAAAATTCCTTGTGCATCAAGGAACGTCTTAACTCACAGATACCCAAATTATAAATCAAGACATGTCTCTATATAGCTTCATCTGATTAACCATTCAGACTTTCAGACATTGGGACTATTGTTAGAGAAACAATTATTATTGCAGTTTCCAACCTACCTTTCTTTACTTGATGATAGAATGATATCGTTTTCCCTACTAAGGAGGAGTGTTGTTCTTCCTCCAGAGTACTAGAGTTTCCATTACTCTCTAGAACCACATTATTCCAATTTAAGAGTTGAAGATTTCCAAATCACCTGGGTGATCCAATCCAGGGCAAAAAAAAAATACGTTTGAGCTATTTAACTTTTGCTTTATCTAAGCATATAGTCTTTATGGATAAAAATTTAAGTCGATTATTTATCATCATTTTCTTTCTTTGCTGTATCCTCTTCTTAGACATGATTCTCCATGGCTCAAGGAGGACATACAAAATACAGCTAATTTTTTTATTCTTCCTTTTTAAATCAGAGTATGCCTATCCTCTTAGCAGAATCAGCTTTGAATACTAAAAATTTTTCTAGTGTTTCTGCTATTTCTTATCCACCAATAAGATTCCTTGTTTATTTTCTCAAACAAAACTTTTAGTTATACTCAGTGAAAATTTATATTGAGCTATATAATACTCCATGAACTGATGCAGGACCTTAACCAATTTTATGTATTATACATAACAAATTCTTTAGTAATCTTATTCATGTGCAAGATCTATTGGGTTATTTTTTGTGATAAGATGACAGTTATTGCTGTAATTGTAATAATTCAACCAGATATTTTTCATCCTTCATGTGTGAATATCACACTAAGTTTCTCATCATATTGTTAACCCTAAAATAACTGGAAATTTAATTTTATTACACTTCTCTATCCTTGATGACTGAACACAGTTTATATTTTAGAGACAAAATCGTTAGAGAGGCACTTTATTATGGTATCTAGGCTTCCTGTCTTTAATCTTGTCTTTCAAAATGTATTCACGTAAAAATGTGTAAATCAACAACTGGTGAGTTTATTTAAATTTTAAATATTGTATATATGTATATTAACATTACATATATACATTATGTGTGTGTATATATTACCTAAATGATTTGGAAAGAATATCCCAAACCAACTACATTCCAACTCAGCAAGATGTCCTGCGGACAAGAGTGAAGACCACAGGCATTGTGGAAACTCATTTCAACTTCAAAGAACTGTACTTCAAGATGTTTGATGTAGGCGGCCAAAGATCAGAACGAAAAAAGTGGATTCACTGTTTTGAAGGAGTGACAGCAATCATCTTCTGTGTGGCCCTCAGTGACTATGACCTTGTCCTGGCTGAGGATGAGGAGATGAACCGAATGCATGAAAGCATGAAACTGTTTGACAGCATTTGTAACAACAAATGGTTTACAGACACTTCAGTCATTCTCTTCCTCAACAAGAAAGATCTTTTTGAGGAAAAAAAAAAGAGGAGTCCATTAACTATTTGTTATCCAGAATACACGGGTTCCAACACGTACGAAGAGGCAGCTGCATCCATCCAGTGCCAGTCTGAAGACCTGAACAGGAGGAAGGACACCAAGGAGAACTACACCCACTTCACCGGTGCCACCGACACCAAGAACGTGCAGTTTGTTTTTGACGCTGTCACGGATGTCATCATTAAGCACAACTTGAAGGAGTGTGGGCTTTACTGAAGCGAGTGGGCGTGGAACCAAAGTTATTACATGTGGAGTGTTGAGACCAGACCTCTCCTGCTGTCTCCGTGGCAGCAGCGAGCATGACCGGGACCAGGGAAGGCGGCAGCATGCAGAACTCTAGCGCTCTTTCGCACAATCTTCTGTAGGAGGGACTCTTAATTGACACGAGATGCTCAAGTCAAACATGGGATTGGACAGCCGTAAAGTATGAACCAAGACATCACTTGGATTTCAAAATCTCAAATGTTAGAGCAGATGTGAAGTTGAGGTGCTGCATTCCAGAACTTCAATATGTAGCTTTTTTTTTCCTTGTTAACAGACCATCAGTTTATTTTTTTAAGGTTTTTTTTCCCCCTATCAAGAATACAAAATTTTATTTCTTTGTTTGCAAAAGAATCTTTATTAAAACCCACAGTCTTAACTAAAAAAAAAAAAAATACATATACACACACATATGTGCACATATAAATACACATGCATACCATTTTTACTAGGTAACCAGAAAACTTCAGAATCACCTAACAGGAAAATTCTATGGTTTATTTACACATACATTTATTTATAGACATCATCCCTAAAATGAATTAAAACAGAGTATATGCCCTATGTAAATAAGGAGCTTTAATGCTTCTCTTAACATTTTATAGTATCTGTTTATTTTTCTCAGTCAAGTGAAATTCTACAAAGGAAAAGTCATTTTCCTTTATATTGCAACTTGATTAAGCTTCTCTTTTACAACATGACTGCATAATTCTACAGGATATTTTATGAACATCTAAATTTTACTGTGCTAATTAAATTAATTGACAAGGTTTGGTTGGGTATTTATGAAGTATTATGAAGAACCCCATTGTTATTACCTATTTTAAAATAATTGATAAGAGGTACACATTTACCCCTTGTTAAATTAACAGATTCATTTGGATATTATAATTAATATAATACTTACTCACTCAGTTATAGTCTGTAATTACTCTACATGACAAATCTAACAACATTAGGAAAACCACCAGTAAGTACTAACTAAATCAAATCTGTCTCATTGTGGAGAGAAGATCATTTTTTAAAAAATTTTAAGTAGTACACTCAGATATACATTTATTAAGCTTTTATCACTTGAGTAGCGTTGCATTTTTGTGATCACCTATAAAGTACCATTTCGATTTCTTAATTATTCAACATATTTCCCTGATGATGAAAAATAAATTTTAACATTTTAATTACCATAACTTTTGTTTTATTAATCCCTTCACCTTTATCACCCAGACCCATAATCCCTGCTCCCCTCTGACAGCTGTCAGGAAGTTTCATAATTTTAAGAATGTAGTTATTAATCCTGTCATTAATTTTGACTCATTAATTTCTTTCAAGAAATTAAAGAAAAATTAGTCTGTTCTTGTTATTCAAGGAATGATACAAATTGGATGTTAATATTAAAAGATTAGAGAATGGGTTGCAAATAATTTCTATGTTAACAACATATCCTAAGTATGTGTGGTAAAATATCTTTTCTGTAATCAAATACTTTTAGGGGGTAATTTCTTTCCACGCGCTAGAAACTAAATGTCTGGGTCCCCCCCAAATCCATATACTGAAGCCCCAATTCCCAATGTATCCCAATGTATATGGAGGTGTGGCCTTGGGAGGTAATTAGGTTTAGACTGGGCCATTAGGGTAGAGCCTCCCTTGTGGGAATACAGCAAGAAGGCAGCCATCTGTAAACCAGGAAGAGGGCCCTCACCCATCATCTGACCATGCAGGCCCCCTGATCTCAGACTTCCGCCTCCAGAACTATGAGAAATAAAGGTTTGTTGTTTAAGCCACCTACTCTATGTAATTCTTTTATAGAAGCCAGAACTGACCAATACAACATTCACTTATAGACATCCTATTCAACGCTAATTTGCAAACTTTTGTGCCTGATTGCCAGCTTATTCTTGATTATCTGAAATCTATTTCACATATCTGAACAATTTAATTAACTACCCCAAAGGATAGACAATGAGCATAAATATTTGCAATTACAAATTTCCATTTTCTAAGAGGTTAGCCATCTACTAATGATATAACAAATTTGAATGAAAAATGTTGCTGTAGTTGTCCTTACAGATGTTGAAATGGAAGCAAATTATAAAAATAAATTTTAAGAATAAAATTAAACAGGAAGAAAAGGGGTAGAATTGATTACATCAATTTATATTGATAAGCTATTTTAATAATGTCTTTAAGAGATTGGAAGAGTGTGTGTGTTTGTGTGTGTGTGTGTGTGTATGACTATTGATGTACACAGCAAAACTATAACTGCTATATGGGGCTTTTTCAGAATATGTTATGCCAATCAAATTAGCAATTTTACTTTGATGTCTGAAAAATTAAAATTTTTCCCAATAATACTTTCCTATTAATGGTAAGCTGAACGGTGCCCCCCTATGAAAAATAATATAGGTCCCCATCCTGGAATCTATGAGTTTTATGTTATATGGAACGGAGGATCAACAAACGTGTGATTAAGTTAAAAATATTAAGATGAAGAAGTTATCCCCAAGCAGGTCCTAAATGTTATCACAATTATTTTTATGAAAAGGGGGAAGCGGGAGATTGGACTACAAATGGGAGAGAAGGAGGTCCTGATGCCGGAGCAGAGGGAAGCAGAGTCAGAGAGCAGATGTTGTGCAGCTGACTTTGAAGATGAAGGAACAAGAAATAGATTTCCCCGGAGCCTCTGGAGGGAGCACAGCATTGCATAGGACTTGGCTTTAGTCCTCTACGTCTCATTGCAGACTCTGGCTGCCAGAACTGTACGAGAATAAATTTCTGTTGTTTTAGGCTCCCCAGTTTTCAGTCATTTGTTACAGCAGCCATAGGAGAGTAATGCAATATTGACGTGAAATTAGTCGCTTTTCACTAGTTGGTATATTTTAAGCTTTTAGAGCTACCGGTTTTCCCACCATTCAGGTAGAAAAACCTGGCGGCTATTCACATGCTCTTTCCTTGTCCTTGAAATATCCTCGTCAACATACAAAATTTTCCCAGTGCCCAAATACATTGGACGAATATTCTGCAATCCATGTCCATAAGGGAGAAATGGAATGCATTTACTAGTATATATGTTTTCTAACTCTATTAATCAAAGATGATTAAATCCACATCTATCCTTCTGAGCTCAATATGGAAAGACATTTTGCAGTATGTGCTGGAAATCCTCAGAAATGGAGACAATGTTTATTTAGGTTAAAAAAGGCTACTTTTCCCATGACAAAAGTGATTCTGATATGAAGTACCTACAAAGTACTCAACAACCTATTAATCCAAACACAGTAAATCTCTTTTTATTTAGAATGGAGTTTCAAGCAACTGACAGGTGACTATTGATCCATACCTGAAAATTCATTTATGATTGGAAAAGTGTCCACATTACTCATTTTAAGACCATTATTAGAGTACACATGAGATTTATGGTTTTTTTCCTGTTCTTTCCTAATCATAGTAATAGATTTCATCCCTAACACAACAGCTAATGTTTATTGAGCACTTATTATATGTCAGGCACTGCTCAAAAATGTTACACATATTATCATTTCATTATATCAGTCCTCTAATGTTGATGGTGATTATGTTATAACTATAATTTTACCAGTGGGAAAACTGAGGAACAGAGAGGTCACAAAAGTTGCCCAAGGATGCACAGGGAATAAGTGGAAGAGCAGGTTACTTGTCCTTAATCACAATGCTAGTGACTCACTGAGTGTCTGTCAGCTGGGGGTTTGCAAGAGTCTGCCGACAAGCCGTCTAGAGATTCTGAAGACAGCAAGCAGGTAGGTAAATACCTCTTCGCTAAAGCCAAACATACACAGTATACTTGTGCACACACACACACACACACACACACACAATTTTCAAGCTCCTGATACAGTATGCATCTGTGATGAACTGGATGGCTGAACACATCGTAGCATCAGCCTTCTTCTTAAAGAGTTTTACATTTAAATTCATTACTGCAATAATAATTATTTCACAGAGTAAATAGTCCTCTCTTGAGTTTTCTGTAATTCATTTCCCTGGGTTTCTGTAATTCATTTCCACAAACAGCCAGGGTCAGTTTATAAAAAGTACACATCCCAGCTGAGCCAGGCTGAGTTGGTTTAGGCAGTGAGTGCTGATGCAACTCACTTTTACACAATGTCACATGAAACAGGCTCTACACAGTCTGATGCACAGTACATATATCCCACATTTCATGATCCCCGCTCAGGCCTCTCACAGGTGCTCAGTGCAGAGTGATTTTCCCCCTACAAGTTGCTGCTACCACAGGCTTCCAGTGTTGCTGGGTTAAGGTGTGGGGATGGAAAATTCAGAAGTGGTTACATATTCACTACTCCTAAAGTTTCCTTCTAGGTGCAAGAGTGTCCACTAGCTTAGTCTTTCTTTCCCCTTTACCTGCTCTCTCATCTATCCAGAACTGGTATGCATAGTCAACTCTTGTACCTTCTCTTTTCCTTTAATATTTGCTTGCTCAAAGATGTCATGTGTTTTCAAATGCTCTTGGATATGCAATAAGACTAATGGTAAAAGTTCTGTTTCTATGGCGTAGGTCTAGGGTATTCTGTGCCTGGGAAACAGGTCATCCTATTACTGGGTTGCTCTGCTATGCAGTGCATTGTGGAAATACCTAAATCTAATTTTCTGATCTATCCTTTCATTTTAAGTAAAAGTATTATTTGATTTTCATACACTTTTTAAAAAAATATTTCTCAGCTTGTTATTGCTATGCTCCTTACTTTAAACACACACACACACACACACACACACACACAACGTTGTAGCCAGGCCAGTGTGGCTCAGTGGTTGAGCATTGACCCATAAAGCAGGAGGTCAGAATTCGATTCCAGGGCAGTGTTCAATTCCAGGTCAGGGCACAAGCCCAGGTTGTGGGCTCTGTACCCAGTACTGTGTGTGCAGGAGGCAGCTGATCAATTATTCTTTCTCATCGCAAATGTTTCTATCTCTCCTTCTCTCTTCCTCTCTGAAATTAATAAAAATACATTTAACAGGCTGATGAATTCCAAAGGGAAGGTGGGGGATAGAGGATGGGGACTGATTAACTAGGGAACTTGTATGCATATAGCTATAGCCCAAGGACACAGACAATAGAGTGGTGAAGGCCTGGGAGGGGAGGGTGCAGGATGAAGGAGGTCAATGGTAAAAACAAACAAACAAACAAAGGGAACATCTGTAATACTGAAATGAGTTTTAGGGACAAATAGGCAGGTTTAGGGAGTTTTAGGAATGAGGAGGGTTCATCGGAGA